TATGAAGCAGAATGATGTGAAATGGAAATGAATACTAATTTAAGTTAAATAGTAAACTTTCTGTTTTTTTCCCCATCACTAAAATATAATTTGTCCATACTTATTGCACAGTTTCATTCAGAAATTATTATTATAATTTTAAAAAGTTCTTATCTTTCAATCATTATCAGTTTTACTACTATATTTTTATCAGCAAGGAGACTAGTATCCAAGCATGACCTCCATTGCTACTTGGTATTGTAGCGGTTTCAGCGCCTGACTGCTGTTGTAGCTTCTTTAGAAGACTAGTATGCATGACTTAATGAATAACTGGATTTATTCATATTCAGTTAATTGGCCTCTGCAGTGTGCTAAAGAGGGATGTGGTTGGCATCTTTATAACTTGATTAGTTTCCACTAAACTAAGAGATAACATCTCAAGGTCTTCAGCCTAGGTCTCCTGTTCAGACCGTTTCTGTGGTGTGGTATGTAGTTGCTGGTGAGTATTTGCTTCAGGTTGGGGGGCTGTCTATATGCGAGGACTGGCCTGCCTCCCAAGGTCTGTGAGAGTAAGGGATTGTTTTCCAGGATAGGTTGTAGATTGTTGATGATGTGCTGGAGAAGTTTTAGCTGTGGGCTGTATGTGCCAGTGGTGTTCTTTTATTTTCCTTGTTGGGCCTGTCCTGTAGTAAGTGACATCTGGGTACCCGTCTCACTATGTCAATCTGTTTCCTCACTTCCCCAGGTGGGTATTGTAGTTTTAAGAATGCTTGATAAAGATACTGTAGGTGTTCGTCTCTGTCTGAGGGATTGGAGCAAATTTGGTTGTATCTTAGGGCTTGGCTGTAGACAATGGATTGTGTGATGTGTCCTGGATGGAAGCTAGAGGCATGTAGGTAAGTATAGCGGTAAGTAGGTTTCCGGTATAAGGTGGTGTTTATGTGGCCATCACTTATTTGCACTGTAGTGTCCAGGAAGTGGATCTCTTGTGTGGACTGGTCCAGGCTGAGGTTGATGGTGGTGTGGAAATTGTTGAAATCCAGGTGGAATTCTTCAAGGGCCTCCTTCCCTTGGGTCCATATGATGAAGATGTCATCAATGTAACGCAAGTAGAGGAGGGGCGCTGGGGGACGAAAGCTTAGGAAGTGTTGTTCTAAGTCAGCCATAAGAATGTTGGCATACTGTGGGGCCATGCGGGTACCCATAGCAGTGCCGCTGAAGGTATAATTTGTCCCAAAATCTGAAATCGTTGTGGGAGAGGACAAAGAGGACACCTGATGAGACCAGGTGTGTCGTAGCCTCATCAGGGATACTGTTCCTGAAAGCTTGTAGTCCATCCTCGTGTGGACATTCAATAACAGATTTAAAAGTAGCCATCCTTCAACAAAAAAGCCTTCAAAAACAGACTTCAAAGAGAAACTGGAGAGCTACAATTAATTTGCAAATTTAACACCATTATTTGGGCTTGAATAGGGACTGGGAGTGGCTGGCTCACTACAAAAGCAGTTTTCCCCTCTCTTGGTATTGACACCTCCTCATCAATTATTGGGAGTGGACCACATCCACCCTGATTGAATTGGCCCTGTCAACATTGGTTCTCCACTTGTAAGGTAACTCCCTTCTCTGCATGTGTCAGTATATTTATGCCTGTATCTGTAATTTTCACTCTATGCATCTGAAGAAGTGGGTGTTTTTACCCACAAAAGCTTATGCCCAAATAAATCTGTTAGTCTTTAAGGTTGTTTTTGTGGATGCAGACTAACACGGCTACCCTCTGATACTTGGCAACATGGTATTCTTGGAAATTAGATGTGATGGGTACAGATGATAAAAATATTTTCAGATTTTAAAAAAGGCAGAAAAAAATCTCTTGTAGAATGTATCCCCTTGTCTGGTTGTTACTAAACTATTCGTTGCCAGGGATGACTTTTGTCCTTGGTGTATAAAGATATTCTGAAGAAAATTTTATTTTTTTAATTAACCGGATTGCACTAAATAATGGGTATTTTCATCCAAAGAGCAGGTAACGCACATATTTCAAAAATCTCTCTCCCCTACTAATAAATTGTCCAGTCTGTGTCATAGAGTGGGAAAGATTATCTGACTTTTTTATTGCCATATATTATATTATTCTCAGTATGAGTTTTTAAAGGGTGTATGTGTGGAATCCTGACATCCATCAAATCATGAAATTTTACATGGATTAAGAAACATCTATTTTACATTTCATTCTTTTTAAAAATCGGATTACACATGTTCAGTATAGTTCTTTTTTTCCTGTGAACTGTGAGAGGAAAGTGAATCTGTCCCTTATGTTTAATTCTTTTGCTGGATTCGACATATGGGAAAATGCTACTATAGCCTATTTTCTTCTGTTTAATTACAGTTCCTGTATCACCTCTCCATCTAATTGACATTTCAGAGATGTTCTGCCTTTTGTTTGAGGAGAAATCATGTTCTTATTGAGAAAATCGATCTTTTGAGGCTTGAGTATTGAAAACCGTAGTGTTTCAAGACAGTTAAACATAACAGTTTTATTGATAAATGTCTGTCAGATCAGTTTTGTGGAAAATTAAATTGTGCATATTGAATCAGACAGTTTGGACTTCATTACAATCACAGTCAATCTTTCGTCCCAAGAACAAAAATCCACCTGTTGTCCATGGATTGTGATCTACAATATTTAAGTATCCCATACAATTTTTTGGTAATCTTAAAGGAACACTAAGGTTTTATAGCTCCAGTTTTTTAAGTAGATGGTGATAGTCCTCTGGATTCTAAATATTTTTGTTTTGTTTTGTTAAATCTTCATTTTCAGTCCGTTAATTGAAAAAATGAAAAGTCATGACTCTACATAGGATGAAAAGTACAATTTTTATGTTCCCTTTGCTAGCGCTGGATTTGCAGTTAACCTGCACTATGTTCAGAGCTATGATTACATCAGATATGCTAGTACACAAAAGCAAGAGTTTTTGGCTTGACAAGGTACTATATAATGTGGAATTGTTATTAAATCCAAACCCCATGTTAATTTTATCTTCCTTTAAAATGCAGAGAAAAATATAAAAGGGAATATGATAAAGGGAAAAATATTTTCCAGCAACTAAGAAATTATGACAATGGAGAATAAAAGGCAAATAAAATCAATGAAATCAATTATGTTCTTTGAATACCAAGTGGATAATAATAACTCACTGTTGTAAATTGAAAAAGAGTCTCAGACTCTGGGCTGTGATGCAGTCATTTTCATAGTATCATTGGCCCTAATTACACAAGGCATTCTGACTTGGGTGCCTGGAAAAATAATTCCCTCCTATTGTTGTGGGTTTGCTATTTAGAGCCCATTAGAGAAAGACCTTGTCTTGCTCAGAGAACAAATGATTTTTCTTACCTATAAATGATGTTTCACAGATGGACAAGGTCAGTTTCTAATGACCCTTGTTCTTTGATGGTTATATCTTATTAGAGTGACCAGATGTCCCGATTTTATAGGGACAGTCCCAATTTTTGGGTCTTTTTCTTATATGGGCTCCTATTACCCCCCACCCACGTCCCGATTTTTCACATTTGCTGTTTGGTCACCCTATTTCTTATTAATGTTTTAATACACAGCTTGTGTTTTCTTATCACTGTTCTACTGTTGAACTGTCTCTCTTCTTTGTTAAATGTAATTTTCCTGTATTGTGTTTTCTTCACTCTTTCAATAACATTTTGATCTATTTCCTCTGATCCAAATGGAGGGCTTATTTTCTTAGTTGCTGTTCTTAACCTTTTTCATTCCAGCCAGGGCTTCACCTCCCCCAGCTTGTAAATATTTTATCTTTAGTACAATGGTGTCCATGGCTTGTATGCAAACAAGGAAACTAGAGAGCTCACTTAAATTGGTACTAGTAGCTCCTTTAGTTTAGTTTCTTATGCCTGTTCAAGTGGGATGGGAGAAAATACCCATCATATTAGAAAGTGATCTGATCCATCACAGAATTATCACTTCCATCCCGGGAAAATGGTATATATTGGTTTCTGCTGAGATATATTAAAAATGTGACAAACAATCACGAATATTAAGAGAATCATGCCATCCACTGGATAGATGACAAAAACCTGCTTATTGTAAATTTATTAGTACTTTCTAGCCAGGAACAGAAACTAAACTAGAAAATGAAAATCAGAACCTGTTTGACCCTGAACCGCTCCAACTCAGAACATTTATTATGTGCTAATTGTTTGCTGAGAAATCTACACTTGTCTTTGATTATAATGTGTGTGTGTGAGAGAATATCCTTTTGTTAGGTCTTTTGCATTTAGGATTTAAATGTGTGAAAAAATAACATTTATAGAGGATGCTTAGTTTTAATGCACCAGATTTATTAGTTTTTTGCTCTACTTTACAGCTTTTTAATCCAATACAAAGTGCCTAAAGTAGATGCGTACATTACAGTCACGCAGAACAATAAATGCTGAACAAGTATCAGAGGGGTAGCCGTGTTAGTCTGTTTCCACAAAAACATTTTTAAGAAATGATGAAAGTAATTGTAGATCCCTTTCAGTTCAATATTTTTAATATATTTGGTGAGATTTACAACACTGTATATGCAAACAAGGTTGGCTTTATACTTGTGAGGTCTCAAACTGTTGGAAGGGAGGCAATTGGGCCAGGAGTTACAGTTTTGTCTGTTTCACCTGCCAGAGAGAGGATGTTATGCTGAGAATGGAGGTATCAGCAAGTAGGGCCCCAACTAGTTGTTTGTTCTAGTTGTGCTGAAGGCTGGTTGTGACCATGAGAAACATGCACATACTTGCTTTTTGTTTTCAAACATCTTTTTTAGAAAAAAATCAGAGGGTTCAGTTGTATATAGTTTCCTGTAATAATCTTTGCAGAGATTACTGACAGCACTTCAGATACAAAACAATGTTCTAGACTTGGCATTAAAATATGTAAAAATATTACTTTCATCCATTTTCAATTAAAATCATCATTATAATGCAGACTTTTTACATGTTTATATTTCTTTTGTTTTTAGCTGATGATGCAAATGTGAAGAATGAAAGCCTTTCATCTGTGCAGCAGCTTGGCATTAAAATGACAGTCAGGTACATTGTATTAAACTATTTCCCTTGTGTATTTCTAGAGTTTGTTTGATTTCTTTGCAATGACTTTAATGATATTTAATCCATCAACTCAACGTTTTGTACCATTTAAATCTAAAGATCATTTTTGAGCGAATGAATTCTTATTTTAAAGATGAAAAAGGTATTAGCACATGATTAAATTATCTGCAACAAATTAAATAGGTTATTATTCATTATTGTTCTAAGGGCTAATTGCAACTTGTTTAGCAAGATTTACAGCTAAACTTACATTATAGAATCATAGAAATATAGGGCTGGAGAGGACCTCGAGAGGTCATATAGTTCATTCCCCTGCTCTGAGGCAGGACAAAGAATGTCTCTGACAGATGCTTGTCTAACCTGTTCTTAAAAACCTCCAACAATGGAGATTCCACAGCCTCCCTTAAAAGCCTATTCCATACAGGGCTTTGGAGCTGTGCTCCAGCTCCGCTCCAGCTCCAGGCAAAAACCTGCAGCTCCACTGCTCCGGAGCTGCTCCGGGCTCCGCTCCAAAGCCCTGTATTCCAATGCTTAACTATCCTTCTATTAGAAATATTTTCCTAATATCTAACCTAAATCTCCCTTGCTGCAGATTAAGCAGATTATTTCTTTACCAAATTTCTACACCACTTTCTATAGGAATTTCAGACCCTGACCTTGCAAAGGATCACATCCATGCTTAACTTTAAACACGTGTAATCCTATTAAAGTCAATAGGAGAGCTCATGTGAGCGAGGTTGCATAAGTGTGTGAAGGTTTGAGGCCTAAATTTCCAAATGATCTTAAAGAATTGCCTCATATGTAGGACTTTGCAATAGTCTTATCTTGAAATCACAAAGAAATGGATAATGGAAGCAAGGTCTGTGTCTGAAACAAATGGTTGAGACCTTCTAGCACAGTGCAGATTGAAAAAAAAAATACAGTTTTGTCAACTGCTGCAATCTGAATGTCCAGGGACAGCTGTGGATATAAGAAGACTCCTATGATAGGTTGCAAACCTTAGGCCTGGTCTACGCTACGGGGGTGGGGTGGTGGGTGTCCAATCTAAGTTACGCAACTTCAGCTACGTGAATAACATAGCTGAAATCAACGTACTTAGATCTACTTATCGTGGTGTCTTCACTGCGGAAAGTCGATGGCTGCGCCTCTCGCCCTGGTGGAGTACCAGAGTCGATGGGAGAGCGCTTGGCGGTCGATTTATCGCATGTAGACTAGACGCGATAAGTCGACCCCCCCGCTGGATCGATCCCTGCCCGTCGATCCAGCGGGTAATGTAGACAAGCCCTTAGTAAGGAATGTCTGCTGTGCTCCTTCAATGAAATCTAGATCAGTTCACCAGTTGCTTCCCGAACTGTCACCAGATTGAGTCCCCTGCCCTAACCACAGTATACAGTTTATGACATACAGGGCTATGAGTTCTTAACTTTTCATAAATTCTAGAACTATTTTAAATGCATCCAGGAAAATGTGTTCTTGTTTTTAAAGAATAGACATTTTATGTTTTACTTTTATTTAAACTTAAGTGTCTAAGTTTGTTTAAACTTTATTTTATTAGGTATGGTAAATATTTAAATTTGCTGAAAGATGGTGCTGAAAATGATCTGTGCCTGGTGTTAATGCACTGTGACAAATTTCTGAAACAACAGCAAACATCTGTACAGTCCTCACTTCGTATCCTTTTTTGATGACACAAGTTAGATTGACCAAGACATTAGTGACAGTTGAACTGTCAAAGAAATTTTTCATATATCTTGTTCTTTGAATTCCTGGTGGTGGTGCAGACTACATAGTATTTTTCATTACATTTTGTGCACACACAAAAGAAAAATCCATTATTATGAAACCTTTCTATCACTAAAATGTGAACTTGACAGAATAACTGTATGATCTTTGACTGTAATCTTCATCCTTCCCTTTCATTTGATTATTAAACTTGCTTGCGTGTCTTGTCTGGTTTTGATTTTAAGCTCTTCGGGGCAGAATCATGTCTTTTAATATGCTTGTACAGTGCCCAGAGCAATTAACTCTGATCCCCATTAGGTCTGCTAGTTTCTTCTGTAATATTGATGATAATATTACTAATATTGAACATTTAGTCATCTGTAATTATAATTTGATTTGCACTAAGGTTTTGATCTAACATTTTTTCATATAATTGTGTATTTTACTTGTTTGTATAAAAGAAACACAAAACAAAAAAACGCTTTGACAGGCTATCTTACCTAGTAATGTGTTTGATTTATTATTTTATAAAATATTTAAGGATGCTGGCAAAATATACTTCATTTTTAAAGCCTTTCAATTTTTTATGTTTACTAATGTTTTATATCTCCTTGGAAGTTTGGAAGCTGCAACTTGTTTTCTTACTGAAATGTTTTTTTCCACCCTCCTCTTTATTGCATGCACACACTTGTTTAGTGTTATAAAAGTACTTATGGGTGTTGGGCTACTGGCATTACCTTAAAATAAGCATACAAGAACCTAGGTTTGTGTGTTTTTGTTTTTGTTTTTCCAAGGGTCATGGAAGAATTATGGAACTTTGCGGAGAGGAAAATTAGATAGTTCAAAGTCTAGGGGCCTAATTTATCCCAGTGAATTTTACTCCAGTTTTATGCTGATTTAACTTTCATGGACTTTTTATGTTCAAGAAACCATCTTCAGTGTAGCTACACTGGTGCAACACTGGAGCTGCTGCAATAGGACCCTAGGTCTACACATCTTGACATTGTTCTGTTTGAATTGTTATATTAACTTTCAGAATCCCATTTTTTTTAAAGTACCTGATTTGTTGTGATTCACAATCTATTTTAATTTTTTTTTTATTTAGCTGATTATTTTATATGCCAGCAATAGTTGGTTGTTTGTCAGAGTTCCTTAACGTTCTCCTACAGGTTGTCTGCAGGAAGGTTATGCTGGCTATGACTGGTTTGCATCGTCTGTATTTCTGATAATGTCAGGAGAGAGAGAGAAAACATTAACATTTCTTCAGCAATTTTCCAGTCTTCTCATCTCAGCATTTCTCTGGCTGCGAAGACTGCATGTTTCTGTAAGACTTTAAAAGCTTTTCTTTTTAAAGGTGGCTTTGAAATTTTTAAAAGGAATGTTTATCAGTTTCACTGAGTTGTTGTTGTTTCACTTTTCATTAACATCCTCTAAGTGAATGCTTGTCCCTTAAAAATTCTCTCAGAAAAATATAGATTTGACATTTGTTCAAATGGTTGTTTAAAGGCAGTGAAATAACGGGTAGACTAATGGTAATGGCAGTGTTATTGAATGTTAAAGTTGGCAATAAAATAAACTTTATTAGTTGTGTTAAATTCTTTGTTTAGGGAGAAGGTACTATTGAGTGGCCTTTTTTATTATTATTACACTGTGCAAGTTCATTGTTTTGATTATTAGCTTTGTTGTATTATAAAATCAATAAACACCACAAAATATCAGAGTTGTACAGAAAAATACTAAAATGCTTTTAGTAATTAGAAACTTCCGTACTGACCAAGTACTAAATGATTCCATATTTCAAATGGCTGGTATTTAAATCAAGCTAGTTACACAAGCTCCATAATTTTCATCCTTTGTTAAATATGATGTCATCTATTTTAAAAAATCTTTTTGGTTTGGTTAGGTATTGTACATTGTCAGGTTCTGTAACTGGTGTAAATTAAACTATCAGCTATAGTCAGTCACTAGAAAATTGTGGGTTTATTAGATGATTCTCTAGCTCTTTTTCAAGAGGGTGTTTGTATATTCCCACTTGTAGTACATACCATATGAACAGCACCTGGTCCAGTTCTGTGGCTGTTCCAGCACTGAGAAGGTTGGCTTCATTTTGTGAGTCTTGTTTGTGCTGACCATCCTCCGTACTGAGGAGTTTGGTATCTTCATAGCTATATTAACAAGTGTGGAACCTCCAGGCAAAAGTATAACGCAGTTTTAGGCTAAAGATCCCCACATTAAATGTTAATTAGCTCCAGCAAAACATTAACATGTACAATCCAGAACCCAACTCTACCTCCTTCTTGCCCCAAACAGAAATCTTAATCTCTCCCATTATGTAACGCTCAATCCCAACTGAGGTGTCACCTATATGGAGTGGGAGATTGTAGTATACATGCAACCTCCTGTGAGCCAGGACCTAAAGGCGGAAGAAGGAAAAGTTCAAAGGAATGCACATCTTCCCCAAACCAAAACCACATTACTTACAAACCACACATCCATCTACCGAGAACATTCCACACTGGTAACCTCTCATTCCCTTCTCCCATTCAAATCGAACTTCACTCCTACCCTCCATATATATTCTCCTCCACATACACACACCACACCTGGGCAAATCATGACAGCTCCATCCAACTCTCTACCCACTATATAGAATTGCAAAAAGAAACCCTCTCGTATTCTCCGCTCCTTCATTTATAAACAGTCTCTGTGAGTCTGCTTGGGCAACGGAGGGGGGTGGGAATCACACTTCCTACTCACAAAGGTAACATTCATTAAACCATATATGTAATAAGGAATTGGGCTGTCAACCGAGAGAAATAGCCGGTAAACATTTTTGTAACAGTTACTCTCTTTACAGTTTTCCACACATTTTGCCACACTTTTCTCCTGCTTCTGGTACCAAAGAATATTTACTTATTTAGTAGTGTCTTTTAAAGTAAAATCGTACATTTTATTTTATAGTAACTAACAATTATTATTTGGTGTTTGCTTTGTTGGTCAGGTACACCTACCTATTGACACAGCAGAATCTGGCATCCACCCCATCTATTTTTGCAGTGCTCACTACATTGAGATGTTGCTGAAGGCTGAGTTGCCACTTGTCTTTTCAGCTTTCCACATGTCTGGTTTCACTCCATCACAGGTAATTTACAAAAGCATATTAAAGCATTGTTAAATGTTTGACTTAAATCCACAAAATCAAGGATATTCAGAAAAGGTTGAAGCTACTATGGCTCAGCTACGTAACAAGCTATAAAACTCAGCCACAATAAAATGACTAAAGAATAAAGTTTTAGTCTTCAGCCACACAAAGTAAATTGTTATGAAAATCAGGTAACTATTCATTTTGTAGGTTTTTTTAATATAGATTTTTATGTTTAGGACTAAAAGTACACAGTTAAAACATTTTAAAATGGAAAACAGTTGACTTCAATGGAACTTCAGCTGAGGAGCTGCCCCTTCCTGTTTTATGCAAAAACTTGACCAAAATGTGCTGGATTTTTTAATGGAATCATAAGGGGTAAAAAAATCTCAGTGGCACGGTCATTTCCAGTAGGGTCTTAAATTCCGTAGTACATTTGTATGATGTATGGTATAAGACAATTCAGCTTATATTGGAGTTAAAGTTCCTGATATCACAACCAATCATTTCAATTAGGTGAAAAAGCAAACCCAAATTCATATATTAATGTAATACTAAGGCTGAGATATGACTCAAACACAGCAACCGTAGGTCCTCTCGTGCTTTGAAGATGTAAAGTCCAGTGTAAGTGCTGTTGCTTCTAGAGATTTACTCAAGGCTATGGATGAACAAACACACAGGCTCTTCTTCGCCTTGGGCTTAACCCATTAAAAAGGTCATTTTGTGCCAAGACTTGGGGGCCCAAGTGTGTTCTTTATGGGAATGGGTGTGGATGTGATGCAAGAATTGATTAAAAGAGAGAAAACATGAACTCATCAAGATTTACAATGTCTGAATTTGATTCTACTTCCTTATGTGTACTGCTCAGTCTTACCCATAAAGGATAAAATTTAAAATATAAGAAAAAGCTGCCTTTCAAAGTGAAAGGAACGGACTATTTTTTTTAAATAAGAAAGGGGAGGAAGTGTAATAGCACAGGGCATCAGTTCACACATGACCTGATCCAGCTATCATTGAAGTCAATTGTCCTTGTCTAGTTTAGGATTAAAAATACATTGTTAGTACCTGTTAATGAACATATCCTTACAACACACCTTTTCTCCTCCTTTAGACAAGCATAATGAGCGGGATCTGGTCCCAGTAAAGGCTAATTGCCTGAGTTTCAGAGATGCTGAGCATTCCCAACTCCCACTGGATTCTAGTTCCTACAGGACAGATGTTCTTATCACAAAAAAGCTCACATGAAGGGAATGAATGTCATGTATTAAAGCATTGGACTGGGATTCAGGAGATCTGGGCTCTTTTCTCATCTGTCCCAAAGCCTCCTTGTGCAATCTTGAGCAAGTCACTTTAAGGCCTCATTATCAAAGGTGTTGAGATAAAGAATTCCCAAGTCAATGAGAGTTGTTGCTGCTCAACTCATCTGAAAATCAGTTCCTTAATTTCTTTATTCTTCAGTTCCCCATCTGTTAAGTGGAGGTAGTAATATTTCCCTACCTCCACAGGGGTGTTATGTGGATAAAATCATTGTACGTGAGGTGTTGAAATACTACAGCGATGAGCAGTTGAACAACCTACTAACTAAATAAATCAATATTGGCATTAACACCCTTATTGGAAGTCTCAGGGATGTTAAAGACTGAATGAACATGGAGATTGAACTAGCCTCCATGCAGTCCCTCCAGGGTCAGGGCTGAGGCATATTTGTGGGGCAGTGTGGAGAAAGGTACTGCACAAGCAGCAATAGTGCAGGCTATTGAGTGGAATAGAGGCTTTCCCTCCAGGAATATCACTCTCACAAACACTGCACTTACTTTTAAAAATAATAAATAATCTGTCTTTGCAAAAATATATAAGATAACTTGTATGCCAAGTTTTATCACAATTCACAGTAATACCCACAGCAAGAATAAGTTTTGAATGGAAACACGTAGAATGGACACCACTGTAATAAGCACACATCCTCTGGCTACATTATTGTGTTATTTTATTGCAAAAAATAATGCTTCAATATGAAAGCAACTTTAACATATATAAATGTCAGTGTATAGGAATACACAACTGAATGCAATCTCATTCCAAAGCATAGCCATTGTAATCTAATTAGAAACACAGTACTTTCTGCTGCTGCATATTTTTAAACACTTAGGGGCTGATTAACAAAGGATTTGTGGTCTAGAGCTAAATGAAGTGTGCTATACACAAGGGATTAAGTAACAAATTGTGATTTAGAAATGGAAAAAACAAGAGCTGCTAAAGTCTTCCATACCATTCAATTAAATCCAAAGGTGCCTCAGGGAAGGACCTACCATTCATTTACAAGGCACAGAAATTCTTTAATTTAAAGGGAAACACACATTAAATACACCTTCAAAGACATCCATGCCATTTAAAAAAATCTTAAGAAAATTCAATACATAAAGAATAGTTTATTTTTTCTGTCATTAAACTTTGAAATTTGTGTTTCAACTTAAACAATTGCCTGTACAGATGTACATTACTGGAATACATGCATTGGGTTCTTCTATATAGCAGTGTCCATCAGGGCTGTACATGCATTATTTCAGGGCCTTTGATATCAAATGAGGATCATGGTCCCTGCTGCACCTCAGTTCTTTTTAACCATCATAAGCAGTGAGGCCAAACTTCAAAGCTCACTTCATGATCCTTTTTCAAAACCCCTTTTTCCTGTTAGCAGAACAATAGTTGTTAAGAAGAGAATACGTTTAGGACAATTAATCTGGAGGTTTTTTCACTTTTGGGGTACATTTGTTTTGTTGGGTTGACTTTGTTGGTTAGGACAGCACTGTTATGTATCACTTTTGCATTGTTCCAACCCAGACACTATTGAGACCAACATGTCTGAAGCCAGTAGCTGGCTTTGAATTATTTTTGATCTTATCCTTCTCTGACCACCTCCTGGAGAGTCACTTGTTCTTTTTAAACTCCCAAGAGTTGTGAGCCATATGGGAAGTTCTCAAAGGAGGAAAATAGTTACTGAACTTAGTGTGCTAACTGCAGTTCTTTGAGATGGTTGCCCATCGGAATTCAGACTTCCTGGTGTACCTTCTTTAGAGCCTCAGGTGAGGGAGTCTTCAATACATGGGAATGACTAAAGGGCATTGGGAGCCAGACCTCTTTTATGCTCTTACATCCCAGTACACGGGAAGAGTTTAAGACCGACACTGCTTGCTACAAACTTCTGGGTTTGTGCAGTAGAGGCACACTTTTCTTAAGAGTGGGGATCTACACAGGCCTCTCTTCAAGAACCACAGTTACTATGGTAAATAATATTTTTTATTCAATATACCAACCACGTAGTGTATCATTTTTAAATGCATATATTAAGCCGGGGTTCTCTGCCTGTTAGTCATGACCACCAACTTATGGGCTGGGTAGGGGTTCTGGCTAGATCCTGGCTGGATGAGAAGGGGGCATGGGATGGTCTTGGTATGGAAAGGGGGTTTGTGGTATAGAAAAGTTATTAATTAATCACTGAATTACTGTAAGAAATTGAATTTGTTTTTGTATTTTTCTAGATTTGTCAGCAGTGGCTAGCTCAGTGTTTCTGGAATTACTTGGACTGGAGTGAGATCTGTCACTACATTGCTACATGTATTTTCCTTGGTCCTGATTATCAGATCTATATGAGTATATCTGTGTTCAAACATCTTCAGCAAGATATTCTGCAGCACACACAGACCCAAGATCTACAGGTTTTTCTCAAAGTAATGTTTTTTTCTTTAGATTACCAGATTAGAGGAAAGCTACACTTTCCAGACTGAAAAGAGATATTATTTTGCCAAACAACTGAATTTCCAGTATTGATTTTATTTTAGTCTCATTCATCTCTCTCTCTCTCTCTCCCCCTCTCTCTCATGTCTGTTTTCCATGAGGAACAAAGGGCCTTCGCCACTACCTGCTATCTTTGCTGATCTCCTGCTGCATTCTTAGCTTGTTCCCATGTCATTCTGATAGCTTTCAGTTCTGTTTCTTTTGTGCATTTTCATGTTATCCTTCGTCTACATCATTGTCTTTTGCCCTGGGAATTCCAGTCCAAGGCCTCTACTGCTATGTTATTCAGGTCTTTCCTCCATCTGTGTCGGGGCAGGCAAACTTTTTGGCCTGAGGGCCGCATCGGGTTTTGTAAATTGTATGGAGGACCGGTTAGGGGAGGGGGTCGTGGCCTGGCCCACACCTCCTATCTGCCCTCCCCCCCGGGACCCCTGCCCCATCCACACACCCCCGCTCCCTGTCCCCTGACTGCTCCCGGACCCCCGCTGCCCCATCCAATCCCTCCTCTCATTCCTGACGGCCCCCCCCGAGACCCCTGCCCCATCCAACCACCCCTTCTCCCTGTCCCCTGACTGCCCCCAGAACCCCTGCCCCTGACTGCCCCCTGCCGCCCCATCCAACCCCTCCTCCTTCCTGACTGCCCCCCGGGATCCCTGCCCCCATTCAACCCCCTGTTTTTCCGCCGACCGCCATCCACACCCGCGCCCCCTGACCACCACCCCGAACTCCCCTGCTCTCTATCCAACCCCCCTGCTCCCTGCCCCCTTACCGTGCTGCCTGGAGCACCGGTGGCTGGCGGTGCTACAGCTGCGCCGCGTGGCTGGAGCCGGGCCACGCTGCTGCCGCCGCCGCCACAACATAGCACAGAACACTGGGTCAGGCCGGGCTCTGCAGCTGTGCTGCCCCAGGAGCTCACAGACCTGCCGCCCAGAGCATTGCGCCGGCGGCGGAGCGAGCGAGCTAAGGCTGCAGAGGAGGGGGAACAGTGGGGGAGGGGCCGGGGGCTAGCCTCCCGGGCCAGGAACTTGGGGGCCGGGCAGGACAGTCCCGTGGGCCGTAGTTTGCCCACCCCTGATCTATGTCCTAGCCAACTCAATTGTTTTTATGTAATTTGCTTTCCTATTGGTTTCTGTTTCGTCATTCTCCAGAGTTGTTTATTTGTGACTTTTTTCTAGCCATCTGATATTGAAGATTTGTCTAAGGCAGCTGTTAATGAAAACTTGGAATTTAAATAATATGGTCATAATAGGTCTCCAAGTTTCAGTGCCACATAGTAAGACCAACTGTATACTGGTGTTATATATTCAAAGATTAGTTTGGAGGGAAAGATTTCTGTTTCTCCAGATTGGCTTTAGAGTTACAAACACGTCTGGCTTTTACTCTTCTGGTTTTAAAGTCTTCATCTGTTCCACCCATTGTATTTACAGTGTTGCCAAGATATTTGAAATAGCAGGCTTCTTCTTTGTCAGTCTCTGAAATTTCTGTTGGTGTTCCGTGTTGTGTGTTGATTCTCACGGTTTTAGTTTTCTTGGTGTTGATTTTTCAATCTTACTAACTCTGCAGAGGCCTGGCAGTCATACGTTGGAGCTTTCATGTCTCTGTGAGTATGGTATAGCAAGTTGATGTAATCTGCAAAGTCAAGCTCCTGTTAACTTGTGTGGCAGTCCATTGTCTGACCCTGTGGTCTTTCTCATTACCCAATCCCCTACCAGTAAAAAAGAACATAGGTGACATAAGACATTCTTGTCTGACACCTATAGTAATCTTCAATGATTTAATCAGTTCACTGCTTTGTATTACTTAGCAAGTCATATTTTCATAGAAGCTCTGAGTGATGTTCACATATTTCTGAGGGAAATTTCCATAATGGCACAACAACTTCCATAAAACAGTTTTATCCTCTATATGGCTTTTTGGAAATCTATAAAATCAATATAAAGTGGTAAATGCCATTTGATCAACAGTTCTATGATGACACATAGGGTTACTATTTGATCTATACATGATTTCTCTTGTTTGAACAATACCTCTTCTTATTGAAATTGTGACCCTACCACTTTCTTTATTCTATCTAGAATAATACCTTTAACTACCTTACTTGGAATAGAAAGCAATTGAATGCCCCTCCAGTTTTTACCCTTACTGAAGTCTCCTTTCTTTGGAAGCTTCACTATATGACCCTTTTTTCACTTGTCATTCACTTATACTGTAGTTGTATTTCTTCATCAAACAGGGCAAAAAAGTATAGTGTTCTCCAGAGAAAAGTACTGATACATATAGGCCTTTTCCAGCTCCTATTGGAATCAGTGGAAAAATTCCTATTGCCTCCAATGGGAAGTGAATTGGACTCTAACTCCCTCTGTATGTACGTGGCTTCCATTCAAAATTAGGTGTGTTTCAGAGGTGTAGAGTTATGCAGTATCCTCCTACTGAAGCTTGAAAACATTTGAATCACAAAGTTTTCCCTTCAGATGATTGTTACTTTGATAGCTGCCTCTTTAGAAGGACTTTGCAAGGTTTGCTCATTTATATTATTGTAGGCTTATAGTTAGCGTTTCTCCTGCCATGAATATCACCTGGATGGATTATAAAGCCTGGGAGGGAAACTGACTTTTCAATAAAATCTTAAGATATTTTATACTAAACCTTGAACAGCTGCCAAGATGATCTCTACCCTTCATTCATTTCCACAAATATTGTTTGTACAGCATGCCACCAGTTTAAGATTTGGAGAAAGAAGGTGAATTGAGAATTTGAAATCTAATTTAAAATATTAAAATATAGATTTTGATTTATTTAATAGATTTGTAGACTTGATAAACAAAGTTGCACGTTACTTGCAATGGGTAGTTTTCCTCCTAGTTCACAGGTAATATTGACCAAGATCAGTTTGGCTATGTCTGTGAGAGCAGTTATAGAACAGGAACAAGACAAACATACCTTCCTGGCTGGCTGAGTTTCATTCCGTTTTTTTTTTTAATAGTGGTTTTAGATGTTCTAAAGAATCTGCAAACTGTGACCTATGGGATTCAACCCCCTTATTCAACCTCCATGTTCTCTTTGTTAATGCTTCACTTTAGGAGGTGAAGGTGCCAGCTTCCTCTAAACAAAGTAATGGTTTGAACCCTTGTTCAAGAAGTCATTATTTAAAGTTAATAGCGGCACCAATCACTATTCTGTTCTGGACTTTCCCTTTTCTCCACTGATATCATTGGCCATTGATTTCCTCCTTCTGGGGATGGACAAAGATCAGGTTTCTATGTTGACACTGCAATATTCCAGATGGTGGTGAGCTTTAATGATTAGCATCATTAGAGAACCACTGGCATGACAAACATAAAAAGCACAAAACTTGGATATGCTGTAGCCAAAGTGTCAACAAAATTTTCTATCGAAGATTCATCCACTTTATCTGGCGGACACAAAATGGGTGAAAATAAATTTGAGACTTCAGCCATTCTTTCACCAAGACCTCCTAGCTCAGATAGAAGCAAATCCATTGTCGGGAAGAACACCTATACTTTTAACTGAATATGGGGAGAGTCAAATGTATAGTCTGCATCCCCTGTGTAGTCAAAGAATCGCTTGTTCTTCCGGATCCTTGAGTCACTTTTCATTTTTGGGTCAATGCCGAGGCTTGAAGCGACTTGTTTGGCTTCTTCAAAAAAAATTGGCCAAGAATCTTTCAATGTTTGAATTTCCTTTACTAAGTTGCTCACGTGTTTAGCTCCCTCTTCCATTGTTAATTTGGCACTTTGTAGGACCTTGTTCTTATCAACAATACAATGAAGCACTTTAAACCATATTGTAGTAAGAAGTACAAATTCAAATGACTTAAGCCACTTAATCAAACAGTCAACATCTGCCTGGATTTTGGGAGGTAAATGAAGCTCCTCTTCAATTTTAATTAAACTTTCCAGCATGCCTGTGTGATTTTTTGATTAGGGGGCGAACAGCATCAACTCTTGTGCTCCACCTAGTTTTAGATACAGAGTGAAGAGATATATTCACAGTGGTCTGCAAAATTTTCCATCTCGCAGGGCTAAGAGCAAATACTTTATAGAGTTTCTGAACATTTCCAAAATACGTTTTTACCTCTGCACTGGTTTCCATAGTGTGGGTGCCACAGAGGTTCAGCATGTGAGCACTGCATGGAGAAAAATAGGCTTGGGCATTTTCTTCCAAAATTCTTGTCTTTACTCCCTGAAATTTTCCTGACATGTAAACCTGCAGCTTTGGGGCAAGTAATTCAGACCCTGGGTCTTTGTTGGAGCAGGAGTGTCTGGCTCAGCAAGACAGGGTGCTGGAGTCCTGAGCTGGCAGGGAAAGCAGGGCTAGAAGCAGGGCCGGCTTTAGTGGTTTTGCCGCCCCAAGCAGCGTGCCGAATTGCCACCGCGGATGGCGGGGGCATTCCATGTGCCCACGGCCAGCTCTAACTTTTTAGCCACCCCAAGCAAAAAAAAAAACCCCCCCCCCCCCCCAACACAACCGCCCCCCAGTGCTGCCCCGCCGAACCAAGTGCCGTCCCGCCAAACCAAAAAACAAAAACAACCTCCCCCCAGCGCTGCCCTGCTGAACCAAAAAAAAACAAACCCCGAGCGCCGCCCTTCCGAAACAAAACAAACAAACAAAAACCCGAGCACCGCCCCGCCACCCCAAGATTGGCCGCCCCTTACAAGGTACCGCCCCAAGCACGTGCTTGGTCGGCTGGTGCCTGGAGCCGGCCCTGGCTAGAAGTAGTCTCTCTGGGCACATCAGGTGGGGTGGTGGCAGCTCCCTCCCAGGGGGTTTCTTTCCTTATGTACCCCGTGTTGCCCCCCTGGCCCCGGCCCCCCATGCCGCTTACCCCCGCCTCTCCCCTCTCTCAGAGCCTCAGCGTGCGCTGCTGTCCACGAGCTGCCCTCGACAGCACTACAGTGGCGTGACTCCAGCG